ATAGCAATAATAACAGTAACAGTGGTAATAACAACATTGATAACAGTAGTAATAAAAGCGTCGTATATATAATAGAAAGTTTGAGTAAATTGAGACTGAACTGTGGACAACAAACACTTAAAATATGCATTGCAAGTTCTTCATGCGTGTGGATTCGTAATTCAATGCTCATCCTCATTTTTTGCATATTTGTGATAATAATATTAAAAAAAATTTATGCAAATGCAAAAAAGCATATTGTTTTGAGAGCTTGTGTGTGTGTTTGTCTATCTTTCTTTTTCTATGCATTCAGACAGATGCGTTTTGTCGTGTACTTTCAACTTAGCGACTAGAGAAGCTAGGAAGCTGAAATTTTTTGGATCCATATGCGACTCTCTCATTTTGAAATTGTCGCTCACTAGGCCTTACGTAATGGCGCGTTAAAAACATTTGTGTCGAAGGACATGTGCCCCACCATTGAGCGCGTCGAATGTTCAATTTGCAGCACTTTCGTTGTCCTTCTGTCTCGGCTATTGGACTGGAAAAGGTGGGAATTTTACGAGATTTTAGGCGTAATTTGTGCGATGCTTCAGCTTCCACAAACGCTTTTTTTGCGAAACTTTGTTTCACGTACAGATGCGCGGACATCCGGTTGCAAAAAAAAAAAAAACGCATCGTCGCACTGGCAACAGTGATGCGCGTTGCTAGTTCCCGGTTAAGCGTCATCATTATGGACTGGTAATTCCAGCAGTTTCCCCTGCATTTCTTTGGGTTTTGTTTCTTTTGATGTGGCGCTTACTTTGGCGATTGTGGTTCTCGTTATCCCTCTCCAAATTTCATTTGCTGAACTGTTTTCATTTTTCGGGTTTTATCTCCTTTCGTGCTTCGTTTTCACAGGAGTAATTTCTTAGCTGTGGAGATCTGATTTGCGCAATCAAGAAGTTCCCCAGTGAGCATTTATAGCGTTGGCCAGTTTCCGCTGTCACAGTTCATTCGCTTTTTTTGTTCCATCCTAATTGTTTTTTTTTTCTCTCTCTCTATTTGGGTGACTTGCCGCTTACAGCACTGTTGAGACAACTGGGGTAGTATTTGTCTCGCTCGCAGTGCGCGGTGTTCGCTTCCTTATTTTAGAAAAGCACTAATGAAGCTCTTCAAAAGTGTGCAAAGCATCAACCACGCTATAGCCAATTTTGTTTTTCACTTTTGATTTTGATGCAGTCCAATTCCATCTGCATAAAGGCGGGGACAGGAGTGGGGGAGGGGACGCTAAACCGATAACTGATGCGGTGGCATTGATGTAAGACAACAGTTTGAAGCTTGTTATGAGCCAGTTCTTCGGCAGTCTTTTTTAACGAGTTCTGGATTGTGTCTACACATCTTGTACTGAAGGATGTCCTAAATTTATCTTTGGAAAATGCGGTGCGCCTACTTCAGATGAAGTGCATTTTTCTTGAGCAGTGTTTTTCAGCTCGAACACACGACTCATCGCAGGTAAAAGAGAAGCAGGGCGATGAAACATCCTCCAATACAGATTCTTCACCATGGGAAGAAAATCTCAAACCGGTCCCAACGCCGCGAAAGACAAAGACACAGGGAATAACTGATTTAGTTATGGTAAGAATTTGAATCTGATTGCGGCCAGTACTGCTGGGCTGGCTCTCTTTGCACTGTTTGCTCTCTCGGTAGTATCTTATACAAATGCGCTCACGCTGCAATCTGCGAAAAAAAAAAGGCCCAAAATTTGCCAGGGTCTGAAGCCAGAGAAATCACTGAGATGGAGCTACTCGCCGATCTGCTTTTCCTATGTTTTTTTGTCGTCAGCTTGCATTACGTGTACACCACATCCTCTAAAAACGACTTACACGGTTATGTCCCGTTCCTCTGCGGCTATCACTATGCAAGTTACGTGTAATTAAGGATGCGAGCAATGTGCATTCGACGTAAACGGTTTTGTCGTTTGTTTTCTTGTAATATTTTTTGATATCGCCTTGGTATACAGATTGACAGAGACAGTTTGAATTCATATGATGCGGAAACCGATTATCAGGAGGGCGATGAGTTTTTCGAAGAAATCGATCATTTGCAGTCTCTTCAGAAGTGAGTTGCGCTTTCGCTCTCGTTTTCCGTTCATTTTTTATTAATTTCTGTTGCACACATAAACAGATGAGAGTTTCTGCGTGTATGCTCAGTACTGTATTTTTATCTCAGCAGCCGCAGCAGCAGGCGTTGCTTTTAGCTGGCCCGTTTCTCCGTTCTCCTGTCGCTCTCTCAGGTGAAGAAAATTGATTCGCTGAATTACCTTAAAACGATTGGCAAGTGCGCTACAGTAATAATGATGCTTTGAGTGGTATTAATGATCGATAGTAGCATCAGCGTTATCTGTTTATGATATCAAATCATCACGGAACTCCCAATACTCCAAAAAAAAAAATCACCTCCTCCTCGAAGGTGCCGGGCCGGGACGTCGGACGATGCGGCACAAAGTCTCGTCATGAGGGACCATCTGCAGAGTTTCTCCATCAAAAGAGGGTCATGCCGATCGCTGTCGATCTGCTGTTGGTTGCGTTCGCTGAACTCTCATTCTGCGCGGCAAATGAAAAACCTCGCCATGAAAAGTGCCATTGGATTTCTTTATTGCTGTGTTTGTTTCGGAAGGATGCTCTGAAATCACAGTTCACCCGGCTGCATAATTGAAATGCTCCCCATTCCAGTGGGAAAAAAGGCATCGGATTCCGGAGAAATTTTGCAAGAGAAACGGATTCAGCGACAGCAAGCGTCATTTGTTCACTGACGTCAGTACGAAACTTTTTCTACTAAATTTGTCGAAAAATTAGTTTTGTTTTTTGGTGGGCCCATTTCCTGTCTCTCGTCTGACTTGTTCCACAATGTCTGTTTGCTTCCATGTAGTTTATTCTTTTTGGGAACGACAAACAGAAAGCAGCAAGCCATTGGAAGTTGGGGAGTGTTACGACGAGCAAAATTTTTCGAGTACAACGGACAAGTGCAACCCACTTCAGTGAAACCACCTTATGTTTCCGTTTTGTGTTTCAGTTTTCTCGCTAATTTAGCCAGAAATTTTTTTGTCGTCTCAGAAAAATGTGCTTTTAGATAGAGCAGTGTACTGCCGGGTGAATGAAACGGTAAAAGTTACTGATTTTTATTACTTGGCTTGTGGACTTTCGTGGTTTCTTAGCTTTAAAAATTTTTCAGCCGAATTGTCCGGGCTTGCACATGCATAAATAACAGCATTAATTCGTCACTATGCACTTTTATTCCTGTAAAAAATGTATACAAATAATTGCAAATTAGTGAGTTTAATCAAGCATCAAGCTTAAAGCCTGCTGGAACCCTTTGTACCCAGTTTCAAGACTTGGAGCATAAAATTCAGCTCTTTGATTTCACAGCAGCAAAGCAACATCCGCTCATTATTCCACAGATCTTCGACCGTAAATTTCTCTCCCGTGCTTTGCAGAGATGTTGCTGATTATGTGAATCTGAATGAGCTTTTTCTTCTGCAATCAGATAACTGCCAAACAGCGATGCAGCTTCCTCCTGCATTACCACTTCATAAACCGCCGAGTCACTGGGTGAGCAGCTTTTATAATATATATTGGGAGCTTTTTTCCTAAAATTCATGAAAAATCACATTTTGAATTGATCGCATTCTTCATTCTACCGATTGGCAACAGACTGAGAATGAAATTGATAACACGGCTCTTGGCATGCCTGGAGGAGCTGTCAGTGTTTGTGCCTCACCATAACTGAGCATTGCCTGGTCATTTCCACCAGAATCTTGATTAATGAAGACATTCGTGGCAAACGCTTTCGCAGTCGGGCGTCTCGCTACGGTCCAAGAATTTCACCTCTCACGCAGTGATACGAATGCC